CCTAATTTCAACGACGATTTATATCTGAGATCATATCTCAGTCTGTATCAAGCTCTGGGAAAATTAGGAGAAGATTGGGCTCCGGACATCACCCTAGAAGAGTATAAAAGCGGCTACACTCTATGGGGCTGGGATTTCACTAAAGATCAAGAAGCGCAATCGGATAAATTCCACATCATAGAAACAGGAAATCTGAGAGTAGAAGTGCAGTTTACCAACAATACGGCTACCACCATCAATTGTGTGGTGTATGCAGAATTCGATAACCTATTAGAAATTAACAAACAGAGAGAAGTGAGCATTGATTACTAAAAAAAATGGATACGGGACAATTGAGAGAAGTCTTATCCAGAGAATTCAAGAGTTCTTTTGGAGGCGTGTATCCTGTAGATTTATTACCGGATCAATTAAGACCTGGAGAAAAAGCTGTCGTGGTCAATACGGATCCTCAAGATCGACCTGGAGAACATTGGGTGTGTCTATATGTGAGCAATCCCGTGGTGGAATATTTCGATTCTTATGGATTTCCTCCCTTACAAAAAGAAATTCAAGATTTTATCCAGCGTCATGCTCAACAATGGATTTATAATCCGTATCGCTATCAAGACTGGAATACCGATGTGTGTGGACAATATTGCGTGTATTATTTACATCAAAGAGACAAGAAAAGAAAGAAAACCGACGAGTGGCTATTCCCCTTTGACCAGAGTACGGCTTTACAAAGGGACAGATACGTGGCGAATTGGTTTAAAAACACTTATCATAAATTACCTACGGGTCATGGACAAAAGTGTCAATGTTTTTATCAAAATGTATTGTAAATGAGTTGTTTGTTGTTTGTTGTTGTTTGTTGTTTGTTGTTGTTACAAATAAAGAATGAAAAAAAAAATCAAAATCTGTGTTCTTATTATTTATGTGTTAGTGTTTTCAGAAAATCCAGTTTGAACTGGTTAGGCTAGACTGAGCTTTTGACTGTGAAGCGTGACGTCATAATCTTGAATCGGTGCCAAGTATTTACCTGTGTAGTCAGCATAAAAAAAAACGTAGGTCAAACGTATGTTTTGCACACGGCCCTTATCTTTCAAGGTGAGGGGGTATAAAAACAAGGTGTTAAAGACGATCCTCCTCAGTTGGGGGCATGTGGTTGAGTAAACGACAGTTTGGCAAACGAATTCCTAGAATATTAGAAGAAGAAGAAGACATGGAGATGGATAAAGATAAATTTGCCTTATTAGAAAAGAGAATGACGGAACCTATGGAGGGGGATCACGAAGCTCCTCAAACAAAAAGAAGAATAGAGTTGAAAACCCTGGATCCGGAACCTAAGAATGAATATTTACCCCTGCATGAGCCTGTGAAGGATCCTAAATTTCCAGACAGAAGTTACAGGATAGCCATTAATTGGACTTTCACCATTAAAGAGCCCAAAGAAGAAGAAGATATAGACATGTTTCTGAGCAACCAAGATGATTTCTTCTTCGGTTTCCAGTATTTGATTATACAAAAGGAAAGACATCCCTGGACAGGAGAACTGCATCAAATCAGGGGATTCATTCAAATGAAGGAACCAGAAGGAGGACTGACTATGTGCAGACTTCATATCGCTGCCAATTTTGCCATGTCTCACAGTACCCCAGAATTGGAAAGTATGTTTTACAAGCAAGGAGGTGACTATGAAGAATATGGTGTTCTGAAACCGGAGGAGAGAAATAAGGAATTGGAGCCCAGAGATTGGATAGAATGGGAAATAGGAGCTTGGAAGAAACCTGAAGCTATTGCAGCTAGAGAAGCTAGGAAGAAAAAGTTCTTAAAGAATGTGAGCTGGTCAAGATGTGAATAAATAAAAAAAAAAGATTGAACTGTTATTTATTGTTAGATCTCAATAAAAAAGAAAAGAAAAAAAAATTGTGGGTTTTTTGTCATTTTTAAAAAATAGGTTATCTCCCTTTAACCATAGATTTTTTTTTTCAAAACACAAAACAAAAAGTGTTGAGGGTTTTTAAAGATTGGGGGAAAAAAATAGATACAATTTAAAAAAAAAAAAAGTATAAATAGTAAACATGGTACAAAACACACCTCAGTTGTGGACTGGCTTCATTATGGGTAACACCTCCAGTAAAGAAATGAGTCAGAACACTAGATTAAAGGAAACTGAATGGTTACTTATACAGGAGGGAGGAAAAGATATCATACCACCTCCCTTGATGGTAGAACATCCTGCAGTATTTATACCACCTCCCTTGATGGAAGAACATCCTGTAGAATATAAACCTCAGGAGGAGGAGGAAAAAGAAAACATAAGACCAAACAAACTCTTGGAGGATATTAAGGCTCATTATCAAAATAAACAGAAAGAAAATACAGGCAATGGATATATTGCTTACTTAAAACAAGACAGAGGTAGAATAGCCAATAATTGGATATTTAATTTAACTGGGTGCAGACAGGAAGATGTAGATCAAATCATTGGAAGTGATTATCAATACTTGATCTTACAAAAAGAAAGGCATCCAGAAACTGGAAAACTTCATCATGTGAGAGGATTCATTCAAATGAAAAACAGAGTTCAAGGGAGATACATGTACAGAAAGATTCATAAATTAACCTGTTTTGAGATGTCTTACAGCACCCCAGAATTGGAAAGAACCTTTTATAGACAAGGTGACTATGAAGAATATGGAGTTCTAAAACCTGATGTGAGAAACAAAGAATTAGTTCCAAGAGATTGTAGATTTACCTGAATAAAAAAAAAATCTTGTTTTATTGTGTTGTTGTTGTTCTATAAAAACAAGGGTGTTTTAAAAAATAGATTCATTTTACATCATGAGTCTCCAGGAGATACAAGGTGATTTACTCAACTGTGAGGTAGAAGCTATTGTTCATCAATGTAATTGTTTAACTGTAAAAGCTCATGGATTGAGTCAAAGTATTGCAGAGAAATTCCCACAAGCTAATCTCTATGCCACTCGCAGACCTCTAGGGACTAGAAATTTAGCCGTAGAAGAAGATAGAGGAATTCCAGGCACTATTAAGGTGTTTCCCTCACAAACCCCTGTGGTCATTTGTTTATTAGCTCAATGGGATTATGGAAAAGCAAGTCACCGACCTAAAAGAATTTCCACTTATCAGGATACCCCACAAAACAGAGAGAAATGGTTTCAATCTTGTTTACAAGAAATGGGGGAAAGTTTACCTTACCAGACTTATGCTTTTCCTTACAAGATTGCCTGTGGACTAGCAGGAGGAAATTGGATTCATTATAGACATTATATTGAACAATTTGTACACACTTATGAAAAACATGTGTACATTCTTCATCATCATCATTAATTGTGTGTTTTCATGTGATGTAAAATAAAGAAGAAAAAAAAGTACCTTTTTATCTGTCATACTCTAAAGTCTGTTTTAAACAGGAGATGAAGGTCCACCGCAATCCCCATGCACTCATAAGCAGATCTCTGGGGGGGGGGGGGGGGGGGGGTCAGTAGAAACACTCAAGTAGTATTTTTCTTTTCCCTGTGATATAATGTCAATATTTAATGGAAAATTCAGAAATTTATTAGCACTTAAAGATTAAAAACTTGCTATCTTTATGATATTGATTTCCATTATCAGATTTTATTTTTTATCCATTTTAAAAATATAAACATTTTAAATAATTATCTTAATAATAATAATTAAATAAATTAAAATGATATCTCATTGAAACTTTTTTAGATTCAAGTTTTGTTTTTATCATAATTGATTCACTGTATATTTCCCAAAGGAAGACCAACAGCCAGGCTTCACTTCACTTAGAGAATGGATTATAGATGGTTAGGAACAAAACATATCTTCCAGGTTGAGGACTGTATAGAAAATAAAACCCATTTTTGTTATTATGATTTAAATTACATGAGACAATGCCTCTTATAAATGTAATGCAAAATAATATCTCTTATATATATGGATTCCTATACTCTAATTATATTAAATGTCATTTGTAAAATGTATTTTTTAAGACAGATTTATTTAGGATCTACTTTAAATGATGACATGAATAGCAGGCCATACTTTCAGCACATGACAAAACATTATCTCAAATTACACAGAAATGGATTATTTAGCATAGCTGACATTAAACATATAGGTGAGGGATAACATAATCACAATTATAAACAATGTGAAACAACTTTAAACGACCTACAGGGTAGATTACAAGCCTTTTTCACTGGGGTAAAATCTCGCATAATTTACATAGAAATTCGCCATGGCAATTTTTAAACCCGAACCCGACTGTATAAAGATGAAGTCATAAAACAACATAACACTGATGTAGTATTACATGATTTTTTTTTTATTTTATTTTATTTCTTAAAAACTAACAATGCTTGTAACTGTCGAATTCTCCTCCGAAATAGTATTCGATCCGCTACTAGGGCCATCCAGGGACTTCTCCGGCCTTCGGGGGGTAATTCGTAGATTTGATTGAGGCTGGTATTAAAAGTCACGGATTTCCTAGCCTGTGTGAAATTTCCAGGTATTTCATTCCGTATTGAATACATACTTTCTCCGTCGCATCTATGTTCTGCCACAGTAAAATCACTTTGCCCGCTTGGGGATGAGTCAGGAGGAGAAAAGCCGTATTTATACAGTGGATGACGTCACAATGCATAGGTAAGCATATTTTTTTTTGCACACGGCCCCCCTTACAGATGATGCAACAGGTATCAAAAAAGATGATGCAATAGATATAAAAAGATGATGCAACAAGTATAAAAAGATGATGCAACAGATATAAAAAAGATGATGCAACAGGTAGTAGTAGCAGCGTACCAATGTAAACACAGTGTTTTATTTAGGGGGCTATATGTACTGAATTGACCCACTTATCCCCTCCAGGGGCTGCACTCTCTTGACCCACCTATCCCCTCCAGGGGCTGCACTCAGTTGACCCACCTATCCCCTCCAGGGGCTGCACTCAGTTGACCCACCTATCCCCCACAGCCCCAAAAGTGCACTCAGTTGAACCCCCCATCTAGACCGCTTATACTACTCACATCTAAAGAAACAATAATGGCATACGGCGTCCAGCAAACAACACATACAATAAAAATACCAAACAACATCTTAGATGAACGGACTGTTTCTCTCCAAACTTTTCTCATTCTCAAAGGATTGTCAATGTCCAAAATGTAAATGTTACGTTTTGTTTCCCAAATATGCTTAAAAATAAGAAAGTAGCAAACAGCCATTACAAAGAGTGGTGCACCAATTAAAATAATTGAAACAAACATGGTGTACGATAAACTTGTAGTCCGATCCCAGATGCACTGGTGATTTTTGTGGTTGAAGACGTGTCCTCCTCAACCAACAAAATTATGTAATTCGAACAAGAAAGCAACCACCCAGCAGATAAAACAAAGCAAAATGCTGGTGACACGGTTGAAAACTCTGTCATACACGTGGTTGTGGCGCAGGTATATAAAGCGTGACTTCGACATAAGGAACAGGCTGAAGAATGCACAAAAGCTGGCAGTCAGACAAAGGCTCGCCACAAAAATACATAGCAGTTTCCTACCCTGGAAAAACTGTTCTCCGTGTGTGACACCTTAAATACAAAATATAGCGTAACTATTTTGTATTGCTATAAAAAGACTGTGGTTTCATCAATATTCGTTGCAGACCCACAAAATTAACTGTTCATTGAATTGAGAAATGTGTTATTTATTTTTGTTTATGTATATATATAGACAATGTTTTCGTCCACGAAATTACGTCTCCTCGAAAATGTATATTGCACAAAATCCATGAAAATTGATGGCAACGAACATTGATGAAACCACAGCAATTTAGCTTTAAACTCAGCTATTCAAAACAAAGATAAACATTACAAAATATTAAAATATACCAGTAATACACATGGGGTCGGCTATGGCAGTGACACAGAGATCCGCCAGTGCCAGGTTGACGGTGAATTCTTTCCCACGTTTGTTGAGGTCTCTGAGGACGGTCCATACCAGGATAATGAAAGCGTTACCAAGTGTCCCCACCAGTAAGGCCGTGCTGGTTATGATGATGTACAATACAGCTAGGCACGTGTCAGTCTGTAAAAGAGGGGGTATCCTTTTCTTTATGGAACTGTTAAAGCTCTCGAGGTTATCGCGGGTATCGTTGATATAAAATGTTCCATTCTACAAACGAATAAAACGATGCTAATTGGTGCTATTCTTTTTATAATTAATGACTGCATCATATGGACAAATGAAAATGAACATTCTTTTAAGGTATTCGATGTATAACGACCATATTTTGTACCCAATAAATGAACAGTCCGATAATTTTAATCAAAGTAGCAATTTAAAGAGGTCATCAAATAAAAATGCTCCACCAAAGGAATGTACAAAATTCTAATTATTGTCCAATTAATTGCATCTTGAATTTTACATTGAAGTCTAAGGCAGCACATGTTTTTATCAAATATTGTAAAAAATGTAATTTGAATTTCAAACAAATCTCTTGGTGAAAATATGCATAAACTCCCTCTTTTTTATACTATGAAATAAAATAAATTATTCACCACAGAAATTTTGAGAAATCAAAAAAAATTTTATTTTCATCAAGGGCAGATAACTCTTCAAAAACTTTTGAACGTGCAAAATGACTGTCTCCATTACATGTTATCAGTCTTGTGAATCTGGGTTAATTTCACTTTTATCGTTATCTAGCAATGCATTTTAACTAGGTTATAATTATTTCAAATCGTTCAAAATCCCTTCATTATATAAATTGAATACCTTAATGAAGAAGAAAAGTACATTTATTGACGGATTCATTCAATAATCGAAGATTTCTTAACATTGAATATAAGAGTTTTTGGCATTAACGGTATTCAACCAAAAAAAAAAAATATTCCCGTATAAAATAAATGCAATTTTCTCCCAAGACATTAGTTTAAACAGTAAAACTTTTTAAAATGTCTGTTATAAAGTCACAAGGGTGATTGTCATTGCTTTTTTTTTTTTTTTTTTTTTTTTTTTTTAACAATATTTAAATCTTAAAAAGAATGTTGTAATATTTAAGGAAAATTAATCTCAATATTTTATTGTTAAGTCGACCATCTTAAAAAATTATATTTGCTTTCCCTCTCCCGACTCGGGTAAAATTATTAGGTTGGTAGATACAATGTAAGTAGTATAACGGGCCTAGATGGGTGGGTCAACTGAGTGCACTTTTGGGGTTGGGGGGGGGGATAGGTGGGTCAACTGAGTGCAGCCCCTGGGGGGGATAGGTGGGTCAACGGAGTGCAGCCCCTGGAGGGGATAGGTGGGTCAAGGGAGTGCAGCCCCTGGGGGGATAGCCGGGTCAATTCAGTACATATAATCCCCCTAAATACGGGGGTGTGTTTACACTGTGTTTACATTATACACTATACGCTGCTGCTACTACGATTTTGGCAGCGACTTTTATCCCTGTTGCATCATCTGTAAGGGCCCTGTGCAAAAAATACGATAGACCTACGTTTTTTTTTTATGCTGACTACACAGGTATTACTTGGCAGCGATTCAAGTTTGTTTAGGGCCGTGTGCAAAAAAAAAAAATATGCTTACCTATGCATTGTGACGTCATCCACTGTATAAATACGGCTTTTCTCCTACTTTCAGCTCATTCTACAGTCAGATCCAGCTCCCTGCCTGTGGGGGGTCATGGATTCTACTAGAGAAAAACAGTTACATGCTCAGCGATTATTAGAATGGAAAAAAAGGGAAAGAGAATTAGAACGAATTCTTTATGACAAAAGAGAGCAAGAGTTAAAGCTCCGGGAAAAAAATGCTAAAATATTACAGAGAAGAGCTCAATTAGAACAACAACGACAACAACAACTACAACGACAACGACAATTACGGGAAAGAGAATTAGATCAAATTCTTGATGAAAATAAAGAGCGAGAATTAAAGCTTCGGAAAAGAAATGCCAGACTATTACAGAGAAGAGCTCAACTAGAAAAACAACGACAGCAACAGCAAAGGACTAGGGCGCATGAGGGGTCAAAGTTACCTATTCATTCACCACCCAAACCCAAGGCCATATCCCAGTATTATCGAGTCAAAGTGAATGAAAGGGTGCACTCTAGAAAATTTAAAGCTCAAGAGGATTTTTACACTGTGATTTTTAAGGAGTTTCCAGAGGAAGAAAACAGAGGATTCGTTCGGCGATTATTCAGACACATGTTACAAACTTTCAAATCGAAAATGCAGTGTAATCCTAACGATTACCTCCGCCTGAACATACGCCACAAATCTCTGGAATCAGAGATTTGGTACGAGTTTACTCAATGTAAACATTTTAACGAGGACGTCATTTTAGACAAGATTGAAGCCGTGCAACAATCCAGAAAGGGGTTCAAACTGGGCGACGGGGGCATGGAATTTGATATGTTTCGGGTCAAGTATCCCGAGGGAAGTGGTGGAGACAGAACCAAACATTTACAAGTGAATAAGGAGACTTTTAAGAACAATAAAAGAGCCATCGTTCGGATCGTCAATCCCTGGGATAAATTTTGTTTAGCTAGAGCCATCGTCGTCACTCGATTACACAGTCAAAAACCCGAACATCCAGACCCCGAATGGGAAAAACAATGGCTTGCTATGCGGAAGGGAGATAGGCAATCCTTGGACCAGAAACGAGAAGCCATAGCCCTCATGGAACAGGCCGGGTGTGATATCACTCAAGCTTGTGGATATGCAGAGTGGACGAAATTACAAGAGGTATTAGCTCCCCAGTATCGACTGAAAATATTTCAGTTCAAGTCTACTTCGACTAAACTCACCTTAGAGCGCATCTTCAAAGGCTGGGGAGACGGAACTTGTTTGAACATTTTGTTAGACGACCATCATTACGATGCCATCATATCCATGCCGGGAGTAACGGGGAACCAATATTACTGTGATCATTGCGACGTGGGGTACAGGAATGTCACAGACCATCGCTCCAAGTGCCCTCATCGCTGTACCTATTGTTTAGGACAACACCCTAATTGTCCCGATGAAGGGATCGAGATTAAATGCCAGGAATGCCATGGAATGTTTAAGAACAGGACCTGCTACGAAAATCATTTAAGACCCCATAGTAAGAAAACCACCACTACTGTCTGCAATTTAATGGAACAATGCGAGAAGTGTCATTCCTGGATACCTAAGAATTTATTCCCTCATCACAAGTGCGGAGGACAGAAACAGTGTAAGATCTGTAAGAAAATCGTCGATACCGATCATCAGTGCTACGTACAACAGAAGCCCCAGAAGAAGAAGAAGGGGAAAGGGACCTTAGAGTTTTACATCTATTTCGATTTCGAATGCACTCAGGAAACCGGCATTCACATCCCTAATCTGTGTGTGGCACACCGCGTCTGTCAACATTGCAGTCACTTACCCATAGACCAACCCTGTCCTCATTGTCAACACATGGGACCCCGTCAGCACCTATTTCAAGGACCAGACACCTTAAAGAAGTTCATGGACTGGTTATTACAACCCACTACAGGTACTAAGAATTCCACTTTAGTACACGACGAGGCCATCATCATCGCCCATAACTTCAAAGGCTACGACGGACAATTCATTTTGAATCACCTGGTGCATTCCTCTTGCCTGAAACCTAACGTCATCATGACCGGCAGTAAGATCTTATACATGGAAATATGCGGACTGAAATTCATCGACTCGTATAATTTCTTACCGTTTGCTTTAGCCAAGATGCCCTCCGCTTTCGGATTCGACGAATTGAAGAAAGGCTATTTCCCCCACTTTTTCAATACGGAACAGAACCAGAATTACGTAGGACCTTATCCACCGGCAGCTTTCTACAATCCGGACGAAATGTCTATCAGTGGACGACGGGCTTTTTTTGAATGGTACGAACAACAGAGGGGGAAAGTATTTAATTTCCAGAAAGAGTTTGTAGAGTATTGTGTCTCGGACGTCGACATTTTACGCCGATGCTGTGCAAAGTTTAGAGCCACCCTCAAGAGTTTGGTCAATGTGGACCCTTTCCAGGAATCCATCACTTTTGCCAGTGCTGCTAATTTAGCCTACCGTCGACAATTCATGCCTGAAGACACCATTGCCATCATTCCGAACCTCGGGTATCAACCGGCACGACAATATTCGGCTAAAGCCTGTCGGTGGCTCACCTGGATGACTCAACAGACTGGATGTCACATACAACACGCCAGAAACGGGGGCGAAGTCCAGATCGGAAATTATACCGTCGACGGATACCAGGAAGCGACTCGCACCGTCTACGAATTTTACGGGTGCTATTGGCACGGATGCCCCACCTGCTATCCCAGTTTACAGACCGAAACTCATCCTCATCGGACCCAATTTACTTACCAGCAATTACACGAAGAAACCCTCAGAAGGACTGGCGATTTAGAAAACATGGGGTATACCGTCCGTGGTATCTGGGAGCACGATTTCGATCAGCAAGTGCAAAAAGATGAGAGTTTACAGCAATTTGTAGGAAACCTGGACATTCCGGATCCTTTGAAACCTCGAGAAGCCCTGTACGGAGGCCGGACCAATGCCACCCGATTATATTGTGAGGAAGGGGACATGAGATACGTGGACGTTTGTTCCCTATACCCTTACGTGTTGAAACACCGACCTTTTCCTGTAGGGCATCCCGAGATCATCACAGACGAGTTCCAGGACGTGAGAAGTTATTTCGGTCTCATTCACTGTCGGGTCTTACCTCCCCGAGACCTCTATCACCCCGTATTACCTTATCGGACGGGAGGCAAGTTATTATTTCCCTTATGTCGCACGTGTGCCGAACGACAGGACTCTACGTCTCAAGATCGATGTCCACACACCGACCAGGAACGTAGTCTCACGGGTACTTGGGTGACGACCGAATTACATAAAGCCCTAGACATGGGATATACCTTAGATCGAATCTACGAAGTATGGCATTTTAAAGAAAGCAGTCAAGAGTTATTCAGATCTTACATCGATACCTTCCTCAAGATCAAACAGGAAGCCTCCGGATTTCCCCTCGACTGTAAGACCTCAGAACAAGAACAAGATTACATTCGAGAAGTCTTATACAAAACAGGCATCCGAATGGACATTCTCAGTATCGAGAAGAATCCAGTGAGAAGAACCATTGCTAAACTCTTTTTAAATTGTCTGTGGGGAAAATTTGCTCAACGCTTGTTATTACCCAAAACCAGATACTTGGACGAAGAAGAGGAATTACAGCAACTCTTACAAGATTCGACTCTCGACATCAAGGGCATGCAACTCTTAGATAATAAAGAGAACCCCAATGAAGACAAGATGTTAGTGAATTATCAAGACAAACAGGAATTCGTCGAAGAATGTCCCTTTGGAAACGTGGTCCTGGCTTGTTTTACTACCGCGCATGCCCGCTTACACCTCTACGAGACTTTACAACCTTTAGGAGATCGGGTCCTTTATTTCGATACGGACAGTATCATTTACCAACATCGGGAAGGAGCCTTTAATCCTACCTTGGGCAATAGTTTAGGAGAATGGACCGACGAATTAGACGGGGATCACATCATCAAATTCATGTCGGCAGGCCCTAAAAATTATGGTTACCGGACGGCCAAAGGAACCGAGGTTCATAAAGTCAAAGGAATCACTCTCAACTATCGTACCTCCCAGATCGTGTCCCTAGAGACTTTAGAAAAAATGCTGAAAGAAGAAATAGAGGAAGTGACAGTAACTTATCCCAACAAAATCCAGAGGACTCGTGATCATGAGCTCGTGACCAAACCTTTAGAGAAAAAGTATAGAATTGTGTATGACAAGAGACAAATTGTAGAGAATTATAACACTCTACCTTATGGTTATTGATATGTTGATATGTTTGACTTTTTGAATTAAAAAAATTGAATTGTTGTTTTATGTGTTGTTATTTTTCTTCTTCCCTATAAAAAGGGGAGCAATACAAATCAAAAGTTCAGTCATGACTGAGAAATTGCTAGATCAACCCATGCGTTATCCCCAGTATGCTCGGCTCTCAAAGAGAGAAGCTACTTTTGAGCACGGATGGCCAGAACCTCTCTTAGGAAAAATACCAGACCTAGCTAGAGCCGGGCTTTACTACAAGGGAGTGAAAGATAACGCTACCTGTTTTCATTGTGGATTTACTTTTAGTAATTGGGATCCCGAGGACGATCCTTATGCAGAACATGCTTATTGGAACCCCAATTGTCCTTACATCAATCTGTATAAAGGACGAGGGTGGGTGATGAATGTGTTTATTGCGGGTTTAAATCAGCAGGGATATAAACCTTTACCTGAGATCAAACCTCTACTGAACCCACAACCAGACGTCCAGGCTCGAGGAAAATGTCACATTTGTTTAGACGAGGAATTACAAATCGTTTTTCTACCTTGCGGACACGTATGCTGCTGTGCTTTGTGTGCTCCTTCCTTTCAGTTTTGCCCCATCTGTCGAGGCGAGATTCAACAGTCCAAACGCCTATTTCTGTGTTAACTATAAATAAGACCCTGAACCCAACTTTTCCTTCATTGATCAACATGTATTCTTTAAAAGAGAAGGAGACACCCCTCCCTTCTTTTCAATTGAAACACGAGTTTACCATGGTGGTTGCTGGACCCGAGGAAAATGTCACACGAGGAAATCGGGCAAAACAGAATTCGTCAAGACATTAGTGAACAATTCCGCGGAGACACCCCTCCCTTCTTTTCAATTGAAACACTGGATCAAAACCCCCATGCCCATGCCCGAAAAAATCGTCTGGTGTTATCGGGAATGGCAACCCGCTTACACTTCTTTAAAAGAGAAGGTATCTTTCATCCGAAATATTCCAGAAGACGACGAGAAATTAGTAGCCAATTTGAGTGTGCCCCATTTACTCATTTTTGACGACATGATGGGAGGAAAAGCCATCGAATCTATTGTGGATTGGTTTACCCGTAAAGCGCATCATCGGAATACCAGTGTGATTTACATCACTCAGAATTTATTTGATCGAGCCGCCTCTCATCGCACCATTAGTTTGAATGCTCATTATTTAGTCTTATTCAAAAATCCCAGAGACAAATCTCAGATCAGTGTGTTGAGTCGTCAGCTAGCTTTACCTCAT